GCTGCAGTAGCACTGGCTGACCCAGGAAGGTGATTTATGGAGAAAGAATCTGACCTTTACCTTCTTCACACTCCCCCTGGTGATGGTTGATAAAGTGCTTGAGATGAGGCGAGGAGTCAGCCCACGGAAGAGGCCTCTTTTCCCATCCACTTCCACAATGTGTCTGGCTGGGTGAGAAAACACCAGGCTGCTGTCAGTCAGGAAGGGGAAGACTCATGGAGAGGACCCCAAACACCTCCAGTGTTCAGCACCAGGGCTCAGCACAGCACAGCAGTGCTCCACAGTCCCACAGCAGTGATTTATTGCAAGAGTCCTGAATAAACTTCACACAGGATGCAAAGAATCCTCATTCTCTGTCACAGCTGTCTCATCTGGAAGGACAACTCCAGTATTTTGGGCTACTTCTTGTGATTTGTTTTGCTCACCTGAAAGGGCTGCAAGGCAGTTTGGGCTGAACCAGGGTAGGGAGGGATCATCTCATGTGCTGTGTGGTGTCACCTCCTCCCCCCACCCCAGAAAGGTTAATGTGCATCTTACAAAGCCAACATTCAGCTCCTGCCCCACCACCTGCTCCCAGGCAAACTTCCTCAGGTCTCCAGATGAAAAAACAGCCAACAGATCCAATTTCTCCCTGATTGAACAATGTGGGATACAATCCACCACGTGCTGGTGGGTACTGACTGCTCCTGGCCCCCATCCTGTGCTGTCTAGGTGAAGCCAGGTGGGCTCTGCACCCTTGCACCAGCCAACACTGTCCATCTGTCTGGAAAAATGCATCTTCCAAAGGGCAGCACCGAAGCATTTCCAGCCCTGAGTGTCCCAGGATGGGTTTGCAGTGCTCTCATACTGCTCCTGTGCTGGCTCCCACCCCATGGGTGCCACTGGCTGATTTGGGGATTGGCCTGACTCAGCTTCCAGACCTGTGCATTCCCCTTCCTTACAGCAAAGCTGCTGTTACAGCAGGTCAGAGTATTCACCCTCCTCTCCCATGCTGCTCCACCCACAGAGAGAGGAAAACAGCACTTTTTTTCCTTCTAAACATACTACCTTCCTTTTTCTTGGTATTTCTGTCCCTTTAGGGCTCCACCTACAACACAAATGAGTAGGTGAGGGGGGCAGGTTATTGGAGGGCTGTTTTGGAGCAGAAAGAAGGTGCTTTGCTATCTCTGGCACACACAAAACCCTCCTCCAACAAACCTACACCATCTAAACCCCTTTAATCCCCTCCACCATGGCGCAAACACAGAGCAATGTGCCATGGGAAGAGGATGCAGCACCAACACCATATCCATCACATCCCTGTCCCCAGCAACAGGTACATAAATCTGCTGGTCTTGCAACTAGTTGGAGTGGTTTGTGTCCCACTGCAGGCTCAGGATGATCCCAATGGAATGTGACAGTGCTGCTGGAGGTTGGCTCAGTCTACATGGCAGCTCCCAGCCCTGATTTGGGGCAGGACCTCATGCTGGCAGGGAGAGAGGTTCACTCACCGTAGGTGAAGAAGCCTGGCAAGTACAGGACTTTCCTTCCCAGCACATTTCTCCCAATGGTTGGAGGTAGTGGCTCGTGCCCAACCTGTGAGAGAAACCCCATGAACAGGGCCCTGTCCCAGTGTTCCCAAAGCCCCTGGGATGTACAGCCTTGATGCAGCATCCATGTGCTGCTGGAAGGCCACATCCCCCCATCACCCTCAGATACACAGTGATGCCATGACACAGACACTCCCCTTGCCACTGCATGGAGCCCCAGGGTACAGGGGGTCCCCTCCCTCCCAATTTAGGGCAGCACTACTACTGAGGTCCTCAGGACACCCATTATATAGGGTATTACACCCCTCCTTATATGGGAGCCCCATTGCAGGAGTCCCCATCCCCTGCCATAGGAGAGGGTCCCAGTACCCCCACTATAAAGGGGTCCCCACTGTATAGAGGTCTTCACCCCTCCCATAGATGATGTTCCTATAGAGAAGGGAAGCAATCTCATCCTGCTATTATACCACCCCTGACTTTTATATAGGGACCCCCATTATCCACAGGGACCACATCCCATTCCATACAGGGGTTTCCACTATACAGGGGTCCCCCACATTCTATAGATATCCCATCACACAGGGAGTTCCATTATAAGGGGGGGCTGAACATACTATGCATATATAATGGGGGGCTACACAGGGGTCCCCCATTCTATAGCTGCCCCATGGCACAGGGGGTCCTGTTACAATGGGGGGGTTGAACATACTATATATGTATTTATATAAATAATGGGTGAGACATAGAAAGAAAGATAGGTATATAAATACACATAGATATAATGGGGGAGAGATAGATAGATAGATAGATAGATAGATAGATAGATAGATAGATAGATAGATAGATAGATAGATAGATAGATAGATAGATAGATAGATAGATAGATAGATAGATAGATAGATAGATAGATAGATAGATAGATAGATAGATAGATTGGGGCATAAATAGATGATAGAATGATAGAATGGAGG